CGTTTCCTGACTCTTAAACAATACTGTTACATTGAATGGACAGGAAATCTTTATCACCCTTTACACAACCTGTTTTTCATAAATGAAATTATGGATAAACTACCCAAGACCTTGCAGATAGCAGTACCAGCCCTCGGTGTGCTCTGGTTTCCAGGAACAGCAGGCCTAGCCACCCAACATTTCAAATCAGGATGTAAACAGAGTTTTTATATCATTAATATTCCACCCTCACCTCTCCTCTGCCTTCCAGTAGGGTCTGAGGCAACATTCAGGCAGCTGCGACGCCCACGTCACTCACCAGCCTCCCGAGAGCCGGAGATTTTATGCTTCATCAGTACAATCTGCTACGAGACCCCCGGAAAAGTCAAGAAGCCACAGCAGGAGGCGGAAGAAATAGGTCTTTTTTCCTTTCCTGTGAACTAGGGATTTGCTGCAGGTGTGTGCGTGGGCACGAGTGGTTCTTGGTATGTGTGTCCTACACATGCAGTCTCCTCAGCTTTAATGAGACCTTTATCAGAGAACAAGAACCGGAGAATGTGATGACAGTCCTGTTCGCACGGCCCTGCAAGTGTGCTGGACACCCAATCAGACCCTCGCATACCTCCGTCGGTCTTGCCTGACGGCGGCTGCTATTCACGGCACTTTATCTGCCCATACCCTGTGCCCTCACTCTGGACACTCTGGACACTCTGGACACTCTGGACACTCTGGACACTCTGGACACTCTGGACACTCTGGACACTCTGGACACTCTGTGCCCAGCGAGGAAGTGCAGGAACATTTCCAGAGCAGCTCTGATCTACTAAGCCTGCTCGAACGGTGCTTCCAGGCACCCTGTGTACAAAGCCTATGAAGAAGGATGAATAGGTGGGTTGCAGAGGCCCTCAATGAAATACACAGGTTTAAGAGGCAGCTGAAGGGGGCCAGAGAGGCCCAGCACAAAGGGAATGGACTCCTAAATGGACAATCTGATCCATTTCAGGTTTTATGTGCAGCATGGATCTTGCCAAAGCCGGCAAAGGCAATTTAAATTTCAAGACTGTTACCTCTGAGTGAATTTGCAACAACAGGTATAAAGTTAAAATATTAAAATGTATGAATATTATGTATCATCTGGTAAAATACTATGTGTTCGGTGAGAAGAATTTTGGGTGAGAGGAAATACAAAGCTGAAAACTAGCAAATGGGAATGAAGTCTTCAACTGTAAGGCCTTGAAATATGTATTTAATCACAACAGGGGCTAAGGTGCTGCAGATAGGATAAATAAACAGCCCTACAGGATTAGAAGCGGCATTTGGCCATATGCATTTGCAGGGTCAGATCTGGAGCAGTGATAAGCCGGAAGATCCCTGACTAAGGTAAGAAGCGCAGTAACTGACGAAATTCCCTAGTAATTCTGTTCTCCTAGTGACAGACTTAGGCAGCACGATCGCTTAAGTACAAGATCTGCACAAGATCACTAAGTTGGCTCTTCACCAAGACTAAAATCTAGCCGTTATAACAGGATGCCAGCAGAATGAACTCTACATTGATCTTTCTCAGCATAACACTTCATGAAAAGGGACAGAGATCTTGATAACAGCATCATCATACATTCCTAGAGCTGTTTAAATACAGACTTGTAACACGTCTTTCATTAAATCAATCATCGTTATGGTACATTCATAGATTGTCAGCTGTCCTGCACTAGTAATAGTATTAATAAACAACAATAATCAACAGAAAAGTCAGAACATTTTATATTATTTCTTTGGAATAATTTTTTGGAAGAGGTCAAAGGGCACAGGTTAGGAACACACTTACACATTTCTTCCCTGAAAAATGAGGATGCCCTTTAACCGCTGAGTATACAAAACATGCCTTTTAGAACTCTGAACTGTGATTATTGCGACTGTTAAAATGTGTTTGATATCTATCACACAGTGAGTGATAAAAAAATCTGTTTACACCTGTTGAAGAGCGAACTGCAGCACCGCCACGGATTGAGATTCTCGGAAATTAAATGCTTTCAGAAAATACAAACATCCCTTTTATTCAAAAGTAATAGGAAATCTACAAAAAGATCAATGTCTCTCCTAATCAAAATGATCAGAGGCCATGTGGTTCATAATTGAAACCATCAGTAGGACTGTAACTGAATGAGATTTGGCACAAGGCTACACCATTAAGCTCCCTGCTGCCCAGCCAGACAGAAGAGCAGCCTCCAGCTGGATCATGTGCAGCAGCACCTCTCCTGCACAGCAGATTAGACAGAGATGTGAGACACTGCTAAAATAAATAAAAAACACTCAGCCCTTTGGCTTTTAAGGCAAGCTCATATTTGCTATGGAGCCTTCTCTGGTGAGAGCTCTCGTAGAAAACACTGAGGAGAAGCACCGGCCTCTGGCTGCATCATGCTGGACTCGCACGAGTCCGCTTTGCCTTACTGCTGTTTTTGCTCTACACGACTGCGGACAAGTTCAGGGTCTCTCCCTGCTCTCACAGACAGCATGCGGAGCCCCTAACGCAATGTCAAGAGACACCAAAGTATTAGAAACCAAATGGATTCGCCGACACAGGCAGCA